TGGTGCTGGGATCCAGTGCTCTGGAAGAGCCGAGTGCTCTTGGCCATGACCTAGCTTCCCAACCCCACTTACTGATTCTTTTTTAGGCAGGGCCAATGTTTCTCACGCCAACCCCAGACTCACTATTCTAGCAGAGGATGACCTTGAACTTCTGATTCTCCACTTCTCAAATGCTGGGATTACAGGTGTGTGCCACCATGCCCAGCATATCTGGGACCAGAGATCAAACCCAGGGCCTCCTGCATGCTCAGTAAGTAAGTATCCCCAGCCCATCCATGGTTCTTTTTTCCCTCTCCTGGAGCACTTTAGGCCTGTTTCTCACTTAAAACTGAGAAATGAAAAAACGAAAGAGCCACAAGAGTTGAGCGTGCTTGTTATTCCAAGTGCACTGTGTATTCAGGGCATCGACACACTTGGCCCTGGCTCTTAGGTAGGCAGGTAGGGCATACACCTCTTAGTCGTGAAAGGAGGGGTACAGTGGGCTGCTAAACAGCTTGCCAGGGTCCCACACTGATAAGCGACAGAGCTGGGACTCCAAGCCAGGCAGCCTGGCCCCAGAGTCAACATTCATCCGGTACAGTGCTGAATACATGGTGGCTGGGTTACGTCCTGACAAGATGGGACACGTGAGCCGGACTTGATTCCAGGGCCTCCATCAGTCCCCAGGTCTTCTGCCACCCACACCCTCCCGTTCTGAAGCCTGGTGTCCTGGTACCTGAGGTAGAGACCTGTAGACAGCCATTCCTGGAGGGGACCACCAATGATTAGTGTTCCTTGACAGCCACAGGAGGCTGACAGTTGCTGATGGTGTCGGGTCTCTGGACTCCAGGTCCTCTGACCTTGTGACTTTCTCAAAGGCCCCGCTGCCTTTCCTCCACATCTGATGAAACACATCCTTACCGAGGGTGTACTGTAGCTTAAAGGGCATGCTGTCCACGGTCGGAGCCACACGCCCAGAAGGCTGTCCTCCCCTGCCTGGGCTAAATGAGCTTTCCACGGAGACCAACAAGGTCCTGCTGACCTATCTCCTCCCAGGGCAGGGTCTCCCGGAGACCTAGCTCAGCAGTTCAGAAAGGAAGCCAGGAGACAAGTGTAGTCCCTGAGCAGCAAAAAGAAGGCCCCCAAACTATCATGCCCCCACTCTTAATAAATTCATTTGTCTACTAGAGCTAGTTCCAAGACAGACTGCAAAAGCTACAGAGACGCTACAGAGAAACCCTGTCTCGAAAAACTAAAAACTAAAATAAAAAAAAATTCATTTTATTTTTTATAATTTGTTTTTAGATTTTTGATTTGCATTTTACGTGTGGACGTATGTCTGTGTACTGCATGTGTGCAGCTCCCAAGGAGGCCATAAGAGAACTAAACTCATGACAGCTGTGTGGTGCCATAGGGGTGCTGGGAATTGAACCTCAGGCCCTCCAGCAGTCACTGGTCCTTGCTGCTGACTGCAGAGACAGCTCTCCAACACACACTCCATCCACAGAAGGGACAGTTCAGTGGGGAAGATCTCCTGCAGTGAGTTCCCAGCACCCTGTCTGGCAGCTCAAAAATGCCCAGAAAGCCAGCTCCAAGGGATCTGATGCCCTCTTCTGATCTCTGTGGGAACTGCACTCTGTGAACACAACCTCATACACACAGAAATAAAAAAAAAAAAATTAAAAAGAATTTATGGCCAGGTGGTAGTGGCTCACGCCTTTAATCCCAGCACTCAGGAAGCGAAGGCAGGTGGAGCTCTGAGTTCGAGGCCAGTCTGGTCTGCAAAGGGGGTTCTATGACAGCCTGAGCTGAACAAAGAAACCCTGTCTTGTGCCAGGTGGTGGTGGCGCATGCCTTTAAGTCCAGCACTCAGGAGGCAGAGGCAGGCAGATCTCTGTGAGTTCGAGGCCAGCCTGGTCTACAAGAGCTAGTTCCAGAACAGGCTCCAAAGCAACAGAGAAACCTTGTCTCAAAAAAGAAAAAGAAAGGAAGGAAGGAAGGAAGAAAGAAAGAAACTCTGTCTTGAAACAACAAAAATAAATAAATACATACATAAGTAAATAAATAGAACAAGAAAAAAAGAACTTCTGACAAACACTGATGCGGTCTTCTTTAGGAATTAAAAACATGGTTCTTGGAATTGGTTGAGCCTGGGTTAGAACCCCAGCCCTCTACTCTACGCTGTGTGGTTTTCAACAATTTACTTAACTTCTCTGAATCGGTATAACAAAAACAATAATTCCTACCCTGATGCAAGATACATTAGCCTGGCAGCTATTGCTTGCAGCAAGGTCTTACTCCAGTCTGCCTCTGGTGGCACTTGGCTATTCTAATTAACACAGTGCTGTGTTCTCCTTACTGTCAGAGACTGTCATCTTCGCAATCCATGAACACGTTCACATCCATTACACAAGCTCACCATGTAGGCTCTGCACTTGGTCCTCACAGTGGTGCAACAGATAATCCTATTTCTATTTGGTCCTTTCGCAGTACAGGTAGAGAGAGAGGCTGGCTGTAGCCCAACACAGGGATGCTTCTGGAAGCTCTGAGGATCTGAACTCCCTCCACCTTCTGCCCCAAACACACACACTAGAAGGCTAACTCATTTCTATGGCAGCCCTAAGTGTCCCCTGCCCTCCATCCCCAGGACAAAGGCTCAACTTGGCTTTCAAGTCAGCTGTGGTTGGGGAAACCCCTGCTGCCTGCAAAAACCAACTTGACTTTTAAAAGGAAGAGAAGGAAGCCAGAGGGAAGGGAGGCTGGGCCACTCCCTGTGGGGGCAGGTGCTAAGTAACTCTATAAACCCTAGCTAACGATGCAATTGCAACCATAAACAGAGCCTAAGAGAGATCAGGGCCAGAAGCCAGACCCTCAAAGGGCAGCCAGGCTAGAGGGTAGGTCCCCTCCCACCTATTTCCCCGCGTCCAGGAAGTGGGGTGGGGGCAGGTGGCGGCTCCATGGTGATGGGATGGGCAGACACACTGGACATCCCCCAGCGGTGCTTGAATGAACTCTTCCCTGGCTCACTCCCTGCCCACCTCTTACTGAGTCACCAGGCCATCAGCCGTAAATGCAGTTGGCTCTCTGTGGATTCAATGCTCACGTCAGATGTACCTTGCCTCATTCCATGGGGCCTGGAACCAAGAGACCTGGGTCTCCATCTAGCTCCACCTCCTAGGTGGACAGAGAATTAGCACTCAGCTGTAACAAGCCCTGTAAAGTCTAAGCCATATCGGCTTCTCTCACGCAGGAGAACCCCAAAACAGACCTGCCCTTCATCACACGCTCTCCTTCTCAACTCTCCTATAACTGAGGCAAGCCTAAAGAAGGGAACCAAAAGAGCCGAGGGAAACTGAGGAACAGTAAAAGCTCCAGAGGCAGCAACCCTTCCCCCTTCCAACTACCTCTCTTGACTGGCGGGTTACTAAGGCTGGCTCTCTCTCCAGACTGGGCGCTGCGGGGGAGTAGAGCCTGGAGACTGGCTCCCCAGCGGGGCACCAAGCAGCTACGAAGGGAACCGGCCATCGAGCCTGACCTCCGCGTCTGGATCTGCTAGTATCTGGCACCTGGCCGCCCTAGAGGACACTGGAGATCCGCCCCCACCTCACACCCCAACAGTGCCTGGTCTGGGCCAGCGGAATCCAGGCCAGGGAGGGTGTAGGGACCTCAGGCCACGTCCTAGAGGCTCCCCTTCCCTGCTGCATCAAGCAGTCCCTCACTCCCGATCCGTGGAGCCCACACTTCCCCAGTTAACCGAGCACCCAAGTTTAGTCCTGCAACTGTCACACTGCATAGTCCTCTGCAGGACGAGCGAAAGCTGACGCACGTTGGGGAAGGGCACCGCGGTGAGGGGCAGGAGCAGAATGGAGGGCGGGGGCCGGGGGAGCGCTGGCGCAGACCAGCCCCACCCGGGCGGGCGTCCTCCCTTCCTCTCCAGGGCGCGGGGCTGGGGCGCGCCAGGCGGCTGCGGCGCGAACCTGCTCGCGCAGCCCCGAGCAGCTCCGGGCAGCGGTGCGTGAAGCCAGAACCCAGAGCACGACGGGGGCCGAGGGGCGGGGACCCAGGTGGCAGCCGCCAGCTCTCTTCCAGGAGGCGCTGGGCGGAAGAAGCAACGGGGTCCGGAATTGGGGGTGGGGGAGACAAAGGCACTGACCTGGAGCCCGGGGCGAGCTAGCCTGGGGTTGGACGGTGCAGAGTGAAGGGGACAAACGGGAAAGGGGGCGTATTTTCCGAAATTAGGGACCAAGAGGGTGGCTCAGGGAGGAGGGCAGACAACTGGAAGTTCAGGGAAGCAGAAAGCGAGACGCACAGAAGGTGCAACCCGAGTTGGGGTTCCGAGTTGGGGTAAGGCGAGAGAAGTTTGCCAGGGACACCAGGGGCTGAAATCAGGGGTGTCTTCTGCAAGAGATCAAGGAGGGAGGGAGGCACAGAGGGATGGGACGTCCACACAAACCCCGGACACAGCAGCCCAGCCCACGGGGCGTGGCGCCTCGCCGGCCCTCCCACTCCCCCGCGACCATCCAGGCTGGGCCTGGCCCCGCCGGCCTTGGTGCTTGCACACCTCCCCGAACCTCGGACTCCCCCTCCCGAGCCCCCCCACCCCCGCCGTATCGGGGAAGGGGGAGCGAGCCGAGGGCCCCGAGCGTCCCTCAAAACTTATTGCAAGTTTACTCCTGCGCCTCCCGCCCCAGCTCCACTCAGCTTCCCCGGGCCAGGAAGGCCCGTGCCCGCCCCGGCCACTCCCGCTCCGGTTACATAAGGTCGCGGGGAGGCGGCCCCCTACCCGGCCTGAAGGGAGGGGCCCGAGGGGCTCCCCGGCTGACGAGCCGCACCGCTCCGGCCACGCGCTGGGAACCCAGGGCTCCACCGGCTGCGGATGGGTGGCGGTGCAGTGCACCCTGTCCTGTTCGTCTGTACCCCCATCCACCCACCCCACCTGTCTCCGGCACCCACAGGATGGAAAGTGCGGAGCTGGCGTTCCCCAGTTCCCCGTGCACCCCTTGCCCCCTAGTCCCGCTCACCTCGCTTTGAAGGTCAATCTGTCCGCCGCCGGCGCCCTGTGGTTCCGGCAACTTGTCTCAAGTTCGGGTGCCCGACCCCCGATCTTCGCCCGCCGCCCGCTTTCGGGCTCCTCAGGCTACGCGCCACCAGCCAGACCCGCCCCGTCCGCCCTTCCCGCCGCCGTCGGCGCCGTCGCCGCTCTCTTCGTCCCGCCCGCGGCTGCCGCCTCCGCTGTCACCTAGCCCCGCGCCCGGCGCTCGGGCTCCGGCTGTCACTCCGCGCCCACTTCCCGCTGAGCCCGGCAGAGGGCAGCACCCGCCCCCTGCGGACCGCCCCCGGAGGCCTCCCGCGGCGCGCGCTGGGAAACGTAGTCCCTGCCGCTGCCGCGCGGGGCTCGCCGGGATTTGCAGTTCTACTCTACTGGCCGAGGTCCCAAGGAATCAACTTTTGACTTTAAAAGTTTGTCCCCTTTTTCCCTTTTCATATTTTCTTTCTCCTCTCTATCAGTGGTGTCCCGAGGTAGGATCTACTACATTATGACATCTTGTGAAAGGACCAATACCAAGCTTCTTTTCCAGGAATGCAGGAATGTGAGAAAGATATAGGGTCCCAGGTGGTCCCTCCTGGTTTATGCGAAGGTGTTCACTCTCAGGATTGCCAGCAGCAGACAGAGGAGTTACCTTATCCTTTAGGAACTTCCACTTAGAGACTTTTGACTGCTTTGTTAAATAATAATAATAATTTCTGTTCTATTAATTATTATTATTATTTCAGAACAAGCCAGTATGAAGCAGAACTGTAGCTTCTTTAAAAATACGTGTGCAAATGTATAAAAATAACATATATATTGTTCGTTTGTTTTCGTTGCCAGGATTTCTCTGTGTAGCCTTGGCTGTGCTGGAACTCACTTTGCAGACCAGGCTGGCCTCAGACTCACAGAGATCCTTCTACCTCTGCCTCCCAAGTGCTGGGATTAAAGACCTGCACCACCACTGCCAGACTTAAAAATGTATTTTTAAATATATATTTAAAACACAGAGGTTAAGAGAAAGAGGCTATCAGGGAAAGTGGAAAGGGTAGGCCCACCAGAGAAACTGGGTGTGGGCTTCTCATTGTTTTTTACAATGGCCAGCTTTCTTGTTTTGGTGATCTCTGAAGTTATCTACAGACAACTGCTGAGAAACTTAAATAAGATCACAGGATGTTTCCTGGGGTGGACCTGATAGTGTTGTAATTGACCAGGTTAAAGATCATAAAGGAAGTGAGGCTATCTTAACTGTAAACAAAACAGTCTTACTTGTCAGGTTCCCAAACTGTCTAGGGGAGAGCTGAGGCTTGACTCCGGGACACACGTGCTCAGACCTTAAGCCTGGTTTATTGTTGTGTTTACCATTGTTTTATTTTGTTGAGACAGGGATTCACCAAATAACCTTAGCTGGCTCAGAATTCACTAGTGGATTACGCTGCCCTCGAACTCACAGAGGTCTGCCTGCCTCTGCTTTCCAAGAGCATGTCCCCACTCTGGATTGTCTGTTTAAGCACTTACTGAGATGACCTCTGCGTGGGCAGCCTTCACATGAGATGGTCATTGTCCTAGAGGTCATGATTCTCAGCCGACAGAAGACTTCATCCAGACTGCAGAATGAGAAGGATACCTTTTCCTCTCAAGTCCCATAATCTCCCCTTCTATCCTGTCTCAGTTTGGATCTTGCCCTTCGTGCCTGCCTGTAAGTATAAGATGGAAACCACATCACCGCCATTTTACTGTTCAGAAGCTTTCCAGTCTCCTCGCTTGTCTCTTCCTCCGAACAGAAGCTCAGAGCACTAAGATAACATTCTTAGCTTTCTTTCTCTGTTGTTTTCTTTACTCCCTCTCCCACTGCCTCCTTTTCTCCACATCTCCTGCCCTTTTCTTCCCCTTACCTCTCTCCCTCCACCTTACCCTTTATTTTCTTCCTCTTCTTCCTCCTCTTCCCCCCATCATGTGACCCCATATTTCTGGGGCTTTCTGAGAAACTGCTAAGGATGTACAAGAATAAAGTCTAGAGCAATAGACCTCTAACTGAGCTGGCCAGAGAAAGCCAGGGAAAGAGCTGGCCAACCTGTCCATAGGCGAGGGGCAACCCTCTCTCCTTCAAACACAAGTCCTTGGATTTAGGAGGTTGGGTAAAAATATGGTCACTTTAACTAAGTCTCAACCTTCTGCAGCCTTCCTAGAAATAAGCATCTTGCTTCCTCAAGGACCCATAACTGTTAGAAATGAACATCCTTCAGAAAATTCTAGTCAAAATGGATTCAAAGCTGAAGAGACAAACAGGCACATTGCTAGGGGTCATTCCCATGGCCTTGAGGTCCACGGAGTCTGGGGTGTGGTTCAGCAGGGTGTTTCCCATTTGCCCTTCAGTACAAGCCCTGCTCCCATCATGTCTTCAGAGGGAATCTGAGAAGAGGCTCTAGACTCTGAAGCAGCCTATGTCCAAGCCTGGCTTCAAACTCTGCTTCGCTTAGCATCTCAATGACCCACTGGGAAACCTCGTGGCCACTGAGGTCAGTCGAAGGGGAACTTGCCATGATCCCCACTCCCACAGTCCCGAAGACCCAGTAGTCTGAGTCACAACTTTACCCAGCTCCCCCACCCAACACATCCCATACACATACCACAACAGGCTGGTCAATGTGAAGAACTATTTATTATCAGAGAAAGTGTAGGGTACAGAAGGGGAAGGTTGGAGGCAGAGGGCAAGGACAGAGGGTACTCCTCACAAGTTGGGGGAGGTTGAGAGGAGGAAGGGCACAGGGTCTAGATGGCAAGTCTAGACAGCAGTGGCAAAGCCCACCTTCTTGTTGCCCATGTCAAAGACAGCGTAGTAAGACCTGAGGAAGACATCCCCAAGGATCCAGAAGGGCTGGCCATCTTCAGAGGTCAGAGGGGTGCTCTCAAGGCCTACCATGCAGTAGCCATCCTCCTGTTCAACAGAAGACAGCATTCTCTCACACGCTCACGGGTGAACTGAACTTCAGCAACTGAATGACTCAAGACTGCCCAGGGGCTCATGGAACAGCTGCCCCTCCACAGCAAGGGCTGTTGGGGCTCGGGGAGAGAGAGTGCTCTTTCCCCAATAGCTGACTTCCCGTTGCCATGGTTCTACGGAGTGGAGGGCTTCCTCCTCAGACTACCTTCCCCCTGCTCCTGGCCTGTAACAGGTCAGCCTGACAGTTAAGCCGCAAACCTCTGCATAGCTGTTCTAGACCACTCTAGATCCCAGCGGCTCTGCCCATAGGAATGAGACCTTACCTGAAGGATGTAGGAAGAGGGTGACAGAGGGAACTCGACACCGTTGAGGACAAAGTTGAAGGTAGGCAGGCTACTGACGCTGTCACAGCTCACAAAATACTGCAGAAAGGAACACGGTCCATGCCGATATGTCTCACTTAGAACTGTATCCAACATGCCTGCCACCTCAGCACCGTAGGCCTGTACCCCATCACGCCTGCCACCTCGCACCCTAAACCCTAGATCCACACCCCAGTCTGCTTTATATTGGGGTGCACAGCTCCAAGGCAATGCTGACTCAACTACTATGAACATTCAGTAGCATTGGCACAGGTGGGGAGGGGTTCGAGGAACCCTGAGGAACCCACTACCCTAAAGCTTTGCTCCTGACTGAATTTCCACTATGAGAGAATGTGGATTGTTGCCTTTCTTGCAAGTGCCCTTTAACATACATTTCTGTAGAACATGGAAACCATCAGTTTCCCCAGAACTAGGAGAATATCTTGAGTAGTCAACTCTCCACTGGCTTTAGGGTGGAAAGAGCAGGAGAGAGCCTGACTCTGGGGGGGTGAGGACATGTGGACCACAGAGCTGTCCCTTGTTACTCATCTGCTCGGTCCCGCTTTCTAGTCATTTTCTCCAACCCTAAAGGCCAGGCAGTGTTTACTCCATATTCCAAGGTGACTTCAGCTCAGAAGAGTCTTGCTTTGCCCTACTTCCTCAGCTCCAGCCTCCAGGTCTCCACCCTGCCAGGGCCACTACCCACCAGTGCCCTCCGTAGCTAAAAGCCTGGAGGCCAAGAATTCAGCTAGCTTTGATTTCCCAAAGAGAAGCTGTAAGTGGCACACACAGTCCTGCCACCCCATAAGATGGCCATTCCTGAGGGAGGGGGAGCCCTGCCTACCGTACTCACCTCTCCATATTCTTCCTCAGCTCCTATGGCCTCCAGAAAGTCGCTCAGGTACTGAGAGGGCATGGTGAGGAGAGAGGTACCAGTGTCGACAATGCCCTGGCAGCCCTGGGAGCACCAGCCAGAGGTGGTTCCACCAATAAGGAAGCTGAATGGTAAGAAGATAGCAGCCTCAGTTCCCACCTGTTCAGGGCAGGCAGAGGGGCCTCCCACCACAGTGACACAGGGGGCTGCACACAGAGACAAGCCATCAATGAGGAAGGTAAGGGGACCCCACTTCATATCACCCTTGAGTCTCTTCAAAGCCATATGAATGGCCGTTGAACCTACTTCCAAAGTTTCAAGGAAGGCTGTAGACACAGCGAAAGCCAGAGCCACTGGTTGCTGCAAGGACTTTGAAACACATTCAGCCTCTAACCTGTGGCGTTGGACTGCAGGGGACCTCATGATTGAGATTTTATGTGTTGCCCCTCTTCTCCAGATTTAGCTCGACTCTGATGCTCCTGCATAGGTTAGCTGTGACTCCGGGACGTGGCCTATCTTAAAGTCCTCTCCCACCCATCCCCACCAGCAGTGCCTGGATGAACGGACGGTTTATAGTGTTTGGAGGTGCAAGCAGAGAAGACCCCACTGCAGACTCACTCATCGATGCTGATCTGCCAGTAGAGGTCCTGGGTGACGGGAATCCAGGTGAGCTCCCCAGTGTAGAGGTTCTTGTCCACACCTCCAAAAACAATCTGTCCACCATCAGATCCCTCCTGGCTACAGAAGACAAAAGGAAGGATCAGGAATGAACAGCATCCTGTGGTGAGTTGGCCATCTTCAGGAAACAGCTCCCGACCTCACTTTACATTGAGGCTCCCTGCAGATGAGCTAGGTCTCCTCAGACTGGGGCTCCCTGTGGACAGGTCCTCTCAGACTGGGGCTCCCTGTGGAAAGGTCCCCTCAGACTGGGGCTCCCTGCAAATGAGCTAGGTCTCCCTCAGACTGAGGCTTCCTGAGGACAGTCTGTATTTTCCTCAGATTGGGTCTTCCTGTAGATAGGATGTGTTTCCCCCAGATGAGCTACCTGTGTGGGCCTCT